CCGTCTACTTCTACATGCAAACTGTCTCGATGTGTTGTCTCCAGATACACAGTATCAATAGACGCTGACATTCAGTTTTTAAAAGCTCTGTACATATTTCAGTTATTAATGTAACACGGGCGACTGCATCACAAACAAAAACACATACAATACTGAAAGCAACTGCGTAAAGTGACTGGTTTTAGAGAGGTTATGAGAACTTGTCAACTGCTCAGGTTGGTAAACCACCGGGTCGACCAGCTTGGTCAGGTTGGTATACAAAATAAACCAGGTATAAAACCACTTATTTAACAGGGAAAATGCTAGTGGACATATATCTCAACCTAGCCTGTTCCTAAATAAACAAATTATATTTTAATATAACAAATATGTATATATATATATATATATATATATATATATATTAAAGACTATGGAGAGCTACTTGTGCACTTTTTTGTGAATTAAATAAATTTACAATGTACATAAAACTACTAAAAGCAGAGTGATTTGGCACTGCCATCTAGTGGCCAACTGGATAAAGCAGCTTTACTGTCTCAACTTTTACTGTTAATTAACACTACGACAAATTATAATTAGTCAACACTGTGCAGTACTGGCATCTAATCTGGAATAAATCCACTTTTATATTGGCAGACATGAGCAGCATTTGAAAAACGTTATGATTTTTACTGTTCAGTCACTGAGTTTTGTATGAAAGTGCCTCCAAAGTCAAAGTAAACGGCAAACAAAAGCACCATAACATCTTGTGCAATGATCCTGAAGGAGTTATAGAGATAATCAAGCAAATATTTGAAGGTGAACTGTTAAACTACTTCCTTCCATCTCAGTTTAATATGCACAGACAACTATAAGTAAGCCGTTAGTAAACACAGAACAAGGGAAGTGTTTGGGAACTGGACAGAAAATGCATTTACAAGCAGGGTTTGTTGGGCAGAGTTTTATTTAAGTTTGTAATTTAATTAAAATATTTTTCACAGCTAGTTTCCGTGTTAGACAAACACTGAGTTTTTATGTGCCTTGATGCTTTCTACTTTGACTGCTTGTGTAGAGCATTTTCTAGCTTCCATAGACAGCCAAGGTTTTGTTTCCACCACAAAATATAAGAGAATATAAAAGGTAAATGTGTCTTTTAACAGTTTATATATATATTTTAAGATAGATATAAACTCACAATAAAAAAAAAAAAAAAAAACACAACTACCTTTATTTTTTATTGGCAGAGAAAAACCTTAGATGTAATTTTAGAATTGCAAGATATAAATGCAGAATTACAAAATATAAACTTGCTATAAAAACTGGCAGTACTGAGAAGAAAAGTCTTGAAATGTGAGATATAAATTCAGAATTGTGAGATATAAACTCAGAATTCTGAGAAAAAAGTGAGAATCGCAAGATATAAACTTGAAAGATGTAAATTTAGAATTTTGAGAAAAAAGTTAAATTGTTAGAAAAAAAAGTCATATTTAAATTTTGTCTTTTTTTCTCAGAATTGCAAGATATAAACAGAATTGTAGAACTCTGAGAAAAAAGTCAGAAATGTGAGATATAACTGCAATTCTGAGAAGAGAAGTCCAAATTGTAGGATATAAACTCGCAATTACCTTTTATTTTTTTAAATCTGTGGCAAACAAAAAATCAGACGTAAATTGAGAATTGCAAGATATAAACTCTGAGATATATATACTTGCAATTCTGAAAAAAAAAAACCGGAAATGTGAGATAACTAGCAATATTGAGAAGTCTGAATGGACTTGCAATAACAAAATACAGAATTGCAGGATGAAAAAATAAATATAGACTGTAAACTCAGAATTCTGAAAAAAAAAAAAGATTTCAGAGCGTATATCTCACAATTCTAAGTTCATATCTAGCAAAAGTCAGAATTTTGAGATAAGTTTTATTTTTTTAATTTTGTGGCAGAAACAGGCTTCCTATCCGACACTGAGATCACAGAAACCTTTCAATCAGCCCCTGTCCGACCCGTCCTCCACGCCAGACCTCTATCTCAGTCCCCTCTGAATGTGAATCTCTGAATCACAAGGGGAAATTATCCCGACACCAGCAGCGCTCCATCACGATATTCACACATCCATAGAAACTCCACCCAAAACAGACATTTACATGCGTTATACCCACACCGAGAATTGCAACAACATTTCATACTTTTTGTTCTTTTGTTTACTTATATTTGAGGAGAATACATGTACACAGAGATGATCGGTGGACCTCGAGGGCAATGCTAACGTGAGTACGATAAGAAAAGCGTGAAGCGGACGACGAAAGCGGACTGACAGCAGGATAAAAAGCTTAAGAGACCAGAAAAAATCACCTGCTTTTGTGCTTGAAATCAAACCTCATACAGGGACGGAAAAAGTATTTCGACACTTAAAAGTCATTTAAATGTCTTCATGTCAAAGCATTAGATTTCTCACTTTTCTAAGCCATTTTTGCAAGGTTAGGTTATTTTTTAAGCAGATGAATGATGTCCACATCTGTAGTTTTTTTTTTTTTTTAACAAGGATATTATATTCAACTAAAACCATAAAAAAATCATTACCTGAAATAAAATATAAAAAATATTATTTCTTATTTTAATTTATTTTAATTTGATGTACTAAAATAACAAACTAAAAAAATACAAAAACAAAAAAATACTAAAACTTTAAAATGAAAACAGAAAATATGAAATAAAAACTAATTTAAGATCTTAATAAAACTCTAATAATATCTCAATGATAGCAGTATTAATTAACTAACGTTTTACAACCAGAAAGTGTTTAAATAGGCCTATTTTTACATTTTAATTTCCAACACTATATCTATTGTTTCATAATTTCTAATGCAAAGTCAATCAAATATTTTTAAGTGTCATTTAAGCATCCAAATACTTTTTGTGGCCACTGTGTAGCCCACTTATACTAAGCAATATCTTTCATCAGTGCACAGCATACGAAATGCACGGTCTTCAGCATTCATTAATAACAGCATAGTGGCCCTCAGACTTTAAATAGGTTTGGGCTTTATTCCGGGGTTATTGCTGGATGGAATGCAATAATGAAGCACATATTCAGGGAGAACATTATCGTATTAGAGTATATACAGCATTAACATTGCAAACTGAACGGTCAGTGCTCATGCAGGGTCATTGTGAACGATTGCATATAGCAGCGCAGCGGCCGCAGCGCGTTCAGTCGCGCACCGCTGCTTTACGTCAAAGCCTCTTCGCCGTGTGCTCTTAAGTGGCGGTTAATTAGCCTGTAGGGGATCGGACTCCACATCGGGCTCGAGACTCAAAGGCACATCTGTCCTTGAAGAGGATTCTGTCAGCGCCTGGACTGAGCTTGATTTATGAGCTCTGCTGCTCACCAGATGGGGGACGGAGAGAATATGATGCTCCGCTTGCTTAGCGAGTCGCAGTCGCTGGCTAATTACATCTTTATCTCCCGCTAATCTGATTCTGAACGGGAAAAAAAGAGACGGCGCGTAGAATCTAGTACTGCGTTCCATTCAGCTCGGACGGTTGGATTTTCCAACAACTTGGAAAAGTGCAATCCAAGGCAACATCAAGTCAGATGTGAAATGTGGACATTTGTGCAGAAATTCAGACACAGACAATTTAATAATAATAATTTATGCATTTAGCAGACGCTAAAGCGACTTGCAGTGCATTCAGGGTATACATTTTTTACCAGTATGTGTGTTCCCCGGGAATTGAACCCACGGCCTTTTGCACTGCTACCGCAATGCTCTACCACCGAGCCACAGGAACACATATGTACAGGATAAATAAATGCACTATGATGAAAAAAAATCCCGTAGATATTGGGACAAAATTAAGAAGCCCCGCACATGACATGCGGGCAGTGAATTAAAAATGTTCCCTTGTTAAATAGTGGCCACAAATTAAGAGTTTGCTCCCACGACTTAATTCGTTCCCACGTTTTATTAAATCATGTTGTACCAATTTGTTGCCTTGTTTTTATTTAATTACATAATATAACGAATTAGTATGACATGGCCAGGATTTACTAAAATGAGGGAACGAAATTGTACATTGTGGCCACGATTTACTAAAAAAGGGAACAAATTGGTAGGATGTGGCCACGATTGACTAAAACGAGGGAATTAATTAGTACGACGTAGCCACGATTAACTTAATTGAGAAAATGAATTAGTACGACATGGGCAGGTTTTACTAAAATGAGAGAACGGATTAGTACGAAGTGCCCACGATTTACTAAAAAAAGGAACAAATTAGTACAATGTGGCCTAGATTTTCTAAAAAAAAGGAACGAATTAGTACGACATGGCCACAATTTACTAAAATGAGAGAATTAATTAGTATGATGTGGCCACGACTTAACGAAAGAACGAATTAATACAGCAAGACCACAGTTTACTAAATGACAAAACGAGGGAACAAATTAGTACGATGTGGCCACGATTTACTAAAACGAGGGAATGAATTAGTACGACATGGCCATGATTTACTAAAATGAGGGAACGAAATAGTATATTGTGGCCACGATTTACTAAAAAAAAAGGAACGAATTGGTACGATGTGGCCACGATTTACTAAAACGAGGGAATGAATTAGTACGACATGGCCATGATTTACTAAAATGAGGGAACGAAATAGTATATTGTGGCCACGATTTACTAAAAAAAAAGGAACGAATTGGTACGATGTGGCCACGATTTACTAAAACGAGGGAATGAATTAGTACGACATGGCCATGATTTACTAAAATGAGGGAACGAAATAGTATATTGTGGCCACGATTTACTAAAAAAAAAGGAACGAATTGGTACGATGTGGCCACGATTTACTAAAACGAGGGAATTAATTAGTACGACGTAGCCACGATTAACTTAATCGAGAAAATGAATTAGTACGACATGGGCATGTTTTACTAAAATGAGAGAACGGATTAGTACGACGTGCCCACGATTTACTAAAAAAGGGAACAAATTAGTACAATGTGGCCATGATTTACTAAAAGAGAGAACGAATTAGTACAACATGGCCACAATTTACTAAAACGAGAGAACGAATTAGTACAGTGTGGCCACGATTTACAAAAAAAGGGAACAAATTAATTAGTCATAGAAACAAATTCTTCATTCGTGGCCATGATATATGTATTTTTTCTGCATGGCATGAGCAGGGCTCTGTACAAAATGTTTAGAAAATATGTATATAACACGCTGAATGCTCCGGTCTGTTAACCGCACACCTACAGAACTAATGCTAGCATTGCATAGCATCGCAATTTGGTTGCGAAAAGACTGTTGACAAAAAAAAAAAAACATTTTCTTTCCTTGTATGTAATTTTCCAAACATAATACATGTAGTAAATGCATGCATTTTTTGTTGCAACTTGATATCACAGGAATATCCAACAATCGTCTCTGAATGGAACGCAGATTCACACTAACACGACCGTACGTAACCGCAGGATTTGGTTATGTCATCGAGGCAGACATGAGCATTACATCATTACTGCAGAATATATCATACATTACAGTCATCAACAGCATGGAAAAAAAATACAGTACACATTTGAAATGATATTAGGATGCCTACACGCTAGAGTTTACAATGCAAATGCACTGAGCTCAATGGGAATGGTGCATGATAAAGACGTTTGACAAATGCAACGGTTTGAAAAAGCAATACTGCACTTCGTACTGTATATTTGTTCAATTTGTGTTTCTACGGCCATTTTCACATGCTCAAAACAGATCCGTCTAGCGTGTAAGCACCCTCACATTTCACTGATTGCTCTTTTACGGACGAGTTGAAATTACTTCCATTTTAAAAAAGTTAATCATGGTAAAACAGAGCATGATACTTCAAAAAGTTTTTTTTTCTTTTTGCCGTTCGATGAATTCAGTGATTTTTAGTACAAAATATTTTCACACACATGGCTTGCGATCAGCTCTGACGTTTTTTTCTCACATGGAATTACTATCATATTTATTCAAATACTTATTAACATTGTCATCATCATCATCATCATCATTATAATCATTATTAACACCAAAAAAGCAATAGCAGTTAACCTTGCAGATTAAAATGTACACAGTGCAGGGGGTTAAACGGGGTCGGTGCAGGAAGTGAGGTCACAAGAGGGACATTTCTAACCGGTACATGCTATCCACAAGCAACAAGAAGTCAATGAACCGTTTCAGGCCAGGAGACGCCAGAAACTTCTGCTGCCTTCAAGTCTTTGTGGAAAGTTCCTACTTACGAGTTGCAACGACACTTTTGAATAATTCTGAAAAGTTGCACTCTTATGAGTCGCACTGATGCATTTAAATAATTATGAAAAGTTGCACTCTTACTTTTAATTTGCAATGATGCATTCAAATAATTCTGAAAAGTTGCAATCTTATGAGTTGCCGTGATGCATTTAAATAATTATGAAAAGTTGAACTCTTACTAATGAGTTGCAATTATGCATTTAAATAATTTGGAAAAGTTGCACTCTTATGAGGTGCAATGATGCATTCAAATAATTCGGAAAAGTTGCACTCTTATGAGTTGCCGTGATGCATTTAAATGATTATAAAAAGTTGCACTCTTACTAATGAGTTGCAATGATGCATTAAAATAATTCGGAAAAGTTGCACTCAATAGTTGCAATGATGCATTAAAAAATACTGAAAAGTTGCACTCTTGTTAATGAGTTGCAATGATGTATTCAAATAATTCGAAAAGTTGCACTCTTTCTGACTTTTCTAAACTGTATTTGCACATTAAAAATGAGTTTTAGCGGATGAGTGACATCTACAGCTGTATATTTTTTTACGTTTATTTTATTAACCAACATTCGACAACCAAAAAGTGTCCAAATACTTACATTTCCAACACTACATCTATTTTTTATACTTTGCAACAAGTTTGAAAAGTAATTTAAAGCACTTCTCTTTTTTAACTTTCCGTCAAACACAAGAAAACAACACTAAATGTGTACAAACTAAACTTCTTACGATCAATACCAATGATTCTCGGCTAATAATGACATTTCGGTTGTAAATCTCGTAAATACGACCATTCCATTGTGACTTAAAGGCAGCAATATCCTCCGAGCCGAAAGGCTGAAACAGAGAGGCTGATGGGAAATGTAGTGTAAATGTAGCCTCTACTGCATATATATTTACACTGAGTGTGAAGGACCGACGATCTGAGTGATGGACAGACTGAGGACAATATGAGGGCTGGACGCGGGTCAGATGTTTGCTTTGGGTCGAGAGCCCAAACGAACGCAAACGAGGGGCTGAGATGACACGGCCCTCCTTGCTAGAAAGAAAACATGTGGTTTGACATCATTCATAGTAGCTACGCACGTCAGAATGCACCACCGTTCAGCTCGGATCTCTGTGTCGGGAACCGACGGGCCCGCTGGTGAACAGCTTTGACCGGTTCACCCGGACATCGCAACAGTCATCGTCGACACGTCACTTTACAACCAGCATGTCCAGCACGCACATCAAGAGACACCCAACTGGCATTACACTTGTCGTTCACATCATTTGCATCACATTTCAGGTTTGGACGATAAAAGGTGACCATCGTTGGCGACGGGAGGGAGGAGTGAAGCAGTGATATGCGACCGGGCGTGAATGGGAAGAGGAAGGAATGACCGAGTGATGTAGTGATGGCTCCTGGATTAATGCATAATTTCTTTTTGTTCACAGTGATGGGTTCGTATTTAAAGATTCCTTCCGAAGCGGGAAAGTTTTAGACCTTCATCAGAACAGAGATGGAGAGGCAGAACCACAGGCCGACTCCTGATAAACGGCCGTTCAGAGACGCCGCTCCGCCGTACACGGCCCCGGGCCCTAGAAGAGAGAAGCAGATGTGAATAGGGTGAATGAGAGAGAGAAAGCTGGTCAACATAGAAACCTTGTGCTAGTGTGCTACATGTTAAGGCAATATGACATCTCAATAGATTATTTATTTTCTAAATACACATTTCTGGTTTTATTGAGTACATTTACTGATTGCACTGGTGTTTTTTTTTTTTTTTTAATTTAACAACAACAACAACAACTTTCATTAATATTAATCTAATTTAATTTCATCATATTTTTTGTATTATATATATATATATATATATATATATATATATATTGGCTGATGTTCAAAATTCAAGATAAGTCAGATTATGCAAGTTTAATGGATTGCAAACATTGTTTTAATTTACTGTAACCTAATTTAAAAGCATTTTGTAAACTTTGATAAATCTATGTATAGTGCATATAAACCATAATGCAAATTGTATTAACATAAAAAATAAATTCAAATAATTTTAACAAGAATTTAAATAAAGTTAAAATTTTTAAAAAGTTAAATTTTTTAATGACTGATCTTTTTATTATAATTACATTTAAAATAAATTATAAATAAATAACAAAATAAAATGCAACAAGTAAAAAACAGTAAAATTATAAAAAAAAAAGAATGAATTGAAAATGTTTTTAATAATTTACTGTATCTTTCATGAAAAGTAGCTAGAATAAACAGTATGGTTATTTATATGGTATAACGCATATAAAACTTATAAAATACACTACATGTATATAAAACAACTAAAAAGTTTATATTTTAATGATTTATTTTTATTATTATTAAAATTAAAAATGAACTATAAAAATAAAATGCAACAAGTAAAATAAATCAAATAATATAATAATAATTTAGTGCATCTTGCATGAGAAGTAACTAGAATAAACAGTATGGGTATTTATATGGTATAACGCATATAAAACATATAAAATACATTACATGTATATAATATAACTAAACATTTTATATTTTTAATAAAAATAGCTTTTTAAATGGCAGATTTTTTACAATTATTTTTATTAAAATTATAAACATTTACATAAAATAAAAAATGTAAATAAAATTTAAGAAGTAATATACAGCAAAAACGCTAAAAGTAATACATTTAAAATAATTTACTATATCTTACACAAAAAGTAGCTAGAATAACCAGTACGGTTGTTTATATAGTATATTTTAATAGCACTCCTGGTGGATTCTTATAGATTATTTGCATGATATTCACTTTAAAATGGTCATTTCATGACAAATAAAATTTGATTTTATCTTTCAAACTAAAATATCTTGAAGTATTTGTGAAAACATACACTACTGTAGCCTCAAAAACTGAAAACCTCACCCCAAGTGAAAAAAATTATATAAAGTACATACAGCATATACAATATGCAAACCATTCCTAAAAAGCAGAAGACAATGATCATGAAAAAAAAAAATAAAATAAATGAAAGAAATGATAGGAGAAAATAACAGCATAGGGGGAACTGCAGGATTTCCGTTCCCAGGTGAGTTATCCTAAGACCGACAGCGGTGGGACAGATGTTTCTTCTCCGAAGGATGAAGATAAAGGTCGCAGCACGTCTGATGGAAAAGTGCGAGTCGAGGCCAGATGACGGCGTGGCAGCGACATGAACAAGAGAAGATGCATGGAAGTGACGGCAGGTGACTCATCACGGGAATAACTCTCCCAGAGAATGTGAGATGGAATGAGACGGACTCGCTTACAATGGTAATGCGTGAGGGGAGGAAACGGCAGGAATCACTCACTGCGGACTGAAATGTAAAGAATGGAGCGAGAGAAGCCACTGATGACTTCCTGGGGTAACAGGACACAACGGAGCGGGAACAAATGAGAGGAGACATAATGGGCCGGAGAAGAGAAAAGATGGGAGGAACCGAAAGGAAGCAAGAAACAGCAGAAGAAACAGATGAGATGGATAAGGAGCATCATGACCCAGCTGTATGCCAATTTTACTAACACTGGTTGTGCAAAGGCCCTGCTGTTTATTGCTAATGAGCTATAAAAGCATTATGTACAGCCAGCCACAAACAATTACACGACTCTCTGGAATACTTCATTCTGATTGGTCAATCACAGCATTCTGCGGACAAACATTTTTATATAATGACACTAAACTGTATAATTGTTCACCCGGCCAAACCTTTTCCTTCATATCCGTGCTAGTTTAATGTCTCTCATAGCAATCTGCATACTCTTTGTGCTTATATAATAAAATGATTTAAATTCAATTGATTTCAAATCTGATTCAGTGATTTATTTCCTTCCCTGAGGCTGTGACCCTACTGAACTCCACACCACCAATCTAACTTGCACCTGCTCTCATACGGCATTGGTCACAGTACTTTACAAACATGTACTTGCACATGTACTTGAAATATGTACTTCATATTTTGCACAGACTGCAAATTGTTTAAGCCATTACATTGTACACAGCACAGTAAATACAGACTATAAATACATAGACATCGCTATACATTGTTTAACAGTACTATTGCACACACAACCATTTGTATTATTACCACTGTTCTTATGTGCCGCTGTTCATACTGTATATATAACCCTACATTTGTACCCCCATTTAGATTCTGTATATACTCTGTTTAATATTGTATAAATATATAGCAACTCCACTGTACATACAAGTTATAGCTTCACTTACTCTGCACTTATCTGTATATAAAACACTATATTCTTGCACTTCTGGTTAGATGCTAACTGCATTTCATTAGCTCTGTACTTGCACTCTGCATAATGACAATACATTTGAAACTAATCTAATCTATTTGTGTCATCAATAATTAATGTTTACTATATTAAAACATTTTTAAATGAATAAATACTTAAGAGAAATATTAGCAAAATATTCATATATATTTATAAAAATATAAACAATTATTTATACATATTCATAATTGAATAATAAGTAAATATTTGAGTAAAGATTTGTTTGTCACCAATCATAAATATTTGCTATATTTAAATATTAATTTTTAAATAAAAGCATACTTAATAAATAAATAAATATTTATAGAAATTCATAAATATTTGTTTATAAAATATAAATATAATTTAGAAATATTTACAAATATTTAAGTCTATGTGCGCCATTTGTCACAATGGTTTGTTTGTGCCATTAATCATAAATATTTACTATATTTAAACATTTATTACAACAAATGCTAAATAAATAAATAAATAATTAATAAATGTTTGTTTATAAAAAATATAATTGTTTATACATATTTATAAATATTTAAGTCTGTGTGCGCCATTTGTCACAAAGGTTTATCATCAGTCATAAATATTTACTATATTTAAACATTTATTTCAATCAATCAATCAATATTTGTTTATAAAAAAATAATTGTTTATATTTATGTCTATGTGCACCATTTGTCCCACCAAAGGTTTGCCATCAATTACAAATATTTAAATTAATAAATACTTAATAAAAATATTTCTAAAGTAATAAAAATACTTTAAATAAGTAAATAAATAAATAAATAAATAAACAATTATTCATAAAAAATTACTTATACATATTTGTTTTTAAATTATAATAATAAATAAATTTTTAATATTTATAAATATTCTATAGTCTATGCCATGTGTGCCATTTGTCACACATTAATACAGGAAAAATATAATGCAAGTAATGTATTATTCAAAATGAATTTGAAAATGAATACTATGTAATGTTATTTTTGTGCATTCAAATCTAACTCTTTTAATATTATTATTTTTTCTTAATTATAAAATAAGAAAAATATATGCAACTAAATAAAATATAAAAGATTGACGAATAATTTTTAAATGTTTACGTGTATTTTACTTGTTGCATTAAACAATTTTAGAGCATAATTTTGATAAATATGATATGTATATTAAATATATAAATAATACTGAGCTTTAATTTTTTTTTATCACACAGCCAAGTGTTTTGAAACAACAGTGGAGGTTTGAGAGTTTTGTTCATTGATTTATGCCAAAATAAGAAGCATCTGTGCACGGTGTGAAAACTGGAACAAACGTAAGATGTAAGCCTTGCGTAAGCACAAACTCTCTCTGTGTTGTGCAGCTCTATATGCTCAATCACTCAATGTTTGGCCTTTCTGTGACCTGTTCCTCCTCCTCTCTGGGTTTTGCTGCATGGCTAAGCTCTCTGCACTGAGCATTCCAGCAGAAACTTTTCCACCGAGAGCTCTGCCACCTGCTCACTTAGACCGGCCCAGAACGCGGTCAGACTCTGAAGTTATGCTGTTATGTACAGTATTTGACTTTGTGCTGCTGCTCTTGTTTTTGTGCTTAACAGCACCTTCATAGGTTACGCTTAGGGTCAGGAAGAGCATGAACCTCAAATCGAGTGAAGCTGCCTGTTCTCAAGAGGAACTGAAACATAATTTATCACCAAAGACTATAAATTCGGAAGTTTAAAGGCCTTTTTCAATAGGAAATGCATCAACAGAATAGAAATCTACACTTAAATATTTTAATACAGCAATTATGCAACTTACTGGCTGACTGAATTTTGCATATGTAAAATTAAGCATTTATATATATATATATATATATATTATCATTATATTTCAATAAATAAATAAATATTTCAAAAACTATTCAGAAATATTTGTTTATATACAACTGTTCATAAATATTTATAAATATTTAAGTCACAAAGATTTGTTTTTGTCATCAATCATAAATATTTACTATATTTAAATATTTATTTAAAATAAACAACTATAAAATAAATATTTCTAAAAAAGTATTCAGAAATATGTGTTTATAAATAATTTTAAATAATTAAATATGTATAATTAGAAATAATTGTTTATAAAGATTTTTATGTGCCATTTCTCACAAATCAATACAGGAAAAACATAATATAAGTGAAGTAATAATAAAAATACATTTAGCTATGTATTGTTATTTTTGTGCAAACAAATCTCATTCTTTTTAAACTATAAAATAATATGAAAATAAATATAATTTAATAAAATATAAATTAAAATATAAAATGCATGTAAAAATTTAAAATAAAAACAAATTATATAGAAATGTAATATATTACACTTGCGTATGAATAGAGCACAGTAAATATGGCTGAGCAAATTTAAGGACCTCATAAAGCAGATTTAAGAAAGTAATGAGGCATAAGTACAACACAATATCTGAATGGAAATCAAACAGCACTATGTGAAATACTAATGCTGATCATTTCTACAACGATTGCAGCGGCAGAACTGACACACTCGCCACGCTAATTGGTTGATTATGCTGTGTGTGGTTAATTTGGCTATAGATATACAGTGCAGTTTGAAAACATTCATCGTTAAGTATGTAGGAGCAATCAGGATCTAAATGCTACACAAAACGAGTAAACTGCTGTGGTAAATTAGCCTCAGCAGAGAAAGAGGCTTAAATTAATGAAATATTCACAACCAGTTGTTTCATACGTTCGTTTGCCAACAAGCAGCAGTTTCCTGTTGCCTGCAGAAAACCTTCCTCTTTCTGTACAACCGCTCGCTTTCCCTGAAATCACCCGGAACAAGTCATTAAAAACATCATCTCCTGCTGCACAAAACCGCTGAAACCAGACTAATGTGGTCTGCTGGTCTTAGCTGGTTTTAATTGGTAGTTTTCATCAGGTCTGCCTGGAAAACTAGATGAAACTTCCAACAAAAACAGAAAACCACCGTGGGCTGGTTTAAATGGTTTGATTTTCAACATTATGGAGACATTTATTTTTGGGTGAACAGCTATAAACTGAAGCTAAAACTAAAAAAAAAAAAAAAAAAAAAAAAAATTTATATTTTACTTAAAATAAAAATGAACTGAAATAAACTAAAATAAAAAAACTTCAGCATAAAAAATATTTCAGCTAGTTTCAGCAACATTTCTCATTTTAGTTTAACTTGATGTACTAAAATATATAAAACTGAAATAATATGTAATAAACACACACACACACACACGCAGTAAAAATGACAAAAAAGCGCAACAAAATTATTAGAAATAAATATGAAATTTAAAACTTTAAACTATAAAATAAAATGAAAAACAAAATAAAAATATACAAAAGAAAAATAAAAAAATATAAAATGCTTCAAAATATAAAAATAATATTAATACAGTTTATTAATAATATAATATAATATAATATAAAAATAATTTGAATAAAAACTATAATAGTATCTCAATGATACTAAAACCACTGGGGTGAAATATACAAAACAAGTCAAGAATATGATGAAGTCATGCATATTTCACCTCCATCTAAATAATTTGATGCATTATGACATAAATTTTATTACAATAAGTGCATATTTACACACAATTGCCAATATAATAATGCTACCATTACTGTAACATGAAGTCATAATAATAATAATAATAATAATAATAATAATAATGATATTTAGGCGTTAGTACATCGTGGTACTGTCTAAAATTTATGCTCATTTAAACAGAAAAGTCTTTGTACTAGAGTAATGAGAATCACCATTGAGAATAATGAGAGTTATAAAGAAAACTCAAAAGAAAAGCATTACAGTAATGAGAACTTTGGGGGAAAACATGCTTAACTGTCATGAACAGAATGCATATGCAGGACAAAAATCTTAACAGGCTTCATTTTCTCTGCACAATATAGTTTCTTATTTCTTTCTTCGGATCTCAGGGTGAAATGTTTTCATGAGATTCCTGCTTTATCACTAAAGCAAGCTGCTCGATTAATGCCGCTAGCGCTAGTGCATTAAACAAATAGTCTCTCTGTCTATAAAAAAACAAAATAATATAGTAATATATATATTATTTAGAAAACAACAGTGAAAAAGCTCAAGTACAAGGAAATCTGTAGTGCTGTTGTGATTTGTTATTGTGTCCTTGTTGTTTCATTCAGCCCTAGATTTTTAAAAATCCCTGAGGTTTTTCTTCAATAAAGCAGAGCTATGAGAGATGAGCTGTTTTCAGACATTTTACAGTCAGACAATGGAAGCTCAAAGCGCATTTTCCACAACAGAACATGTTTTATAGGAATCCTCTATTACTCGATACTGATGTTCTGTAGCGGACAAAAGATCTGCTGTAGAAAAACAGCAGGAGAAAATTCAGTTAATAAACTCTTTGGGTGCAACAAACTCTCACGCAGCCTTCAAACTGTGTAAGTCTGATCTTAATTCATTTTAAATTGTAAATGTTCGCTTCAGTACATATTTTGTGTACTGAGGAATAGGCATTTCCCATCATTCTCCATCCCAGCTAACAGGGAACATTCCCAGAACTTTGGCGAATGTTTTCTCAAAGTTATGAACAAATGTTCTTCTTGAAACATTAATAGAACGTTCATTCAAAGTTGTCTGGGTTTTCGTAACAAAAATGTAATTGTTACATTGTCACAATTGATCACTTTTTAAATGTTGTGACTTGCTACTTGTTTCAGAATGTTCAGAGAACATTCAAAAGTAACGTTCCCTTAATGTTTTCTCTAACATTTGCATAACCAAGAATGTGAACATTAGAGAAAACATTAAGGGAACATTCCATTTTAGAATTTTGCAAATGTTATGGGAACATTACTTTTGAATGTTGTCTAAACGTTCTGAAACACGCAGTAAGTAATAACATTTAAAAATATTTTCTATGAATGCTTTGCTAATGTTCCCATTAAGGTATGAAAAGGTTATTTTTTATGTTTTTTAAACATTCAAAAGATCCAGTTTTTAAAATGGTTTAACACTCCACTATTTTTCAAAATAAGCTCATTTTCCAACTCTCCTAGAGTTAAACAGTTGAGTTTTACCGTTTTAGAATCCATTCAGCCGATCTCCGGGTCTGGTGGTAGCACTTTTAGCTGTAGCTTAGCATAGGTTATTGAATCTGATTTGACCGTTAGCATCTTGCTCAAAAATGACCAAAGAGTTTCTATATTTTTCCTATTAAAAAAAACTTGACTCTTCTGTAGTTACATCGTGTACTAAGACCGACGGAAAATGAACAGTTGCGATTTTCTAGGCCGATATGGCTAGGAACTATACTAGCCTATTTTCAAAAATAGTGGCGTGTTCCTTTAAAAAGGTTATTTTTGAATGTTCTCTGAATAGGTTTAAAAAAAAAAAACATTTTCATAAATTAATGGGAACATTAACCAAGCATTCTTTCATTTTTTTGTTTTGTTTTTAATGTTATTACTTACTACGTTTCGGAACATTTATTGCAAAATACAGAGAACATTCAAAAGTAACGTTACCATAATGTTTGCAAAATGATAAAATTGACCATTCCTTTAATGTTTCCTCTAAGAAATTTTTTTTAAAACCAATTTAAAAATGTTTAGAGAACATTCAAAAATAACCTTGGGAACATTAACAAAACGTTCTAGGAACACATTTTTGTTAACTGGGATGGTAACAAAAGACTGTTAAAATACAAGATAAAGCATGAATTTCACACCTAATGCGCATCTTTGCTTTTAGTTTCTGATGCATTGGTGGTAAACAAGCTTCCTGACTTTATGAAGAAGCCAAAAAGAGAAAAAGAAGCATGAAATTATGCCACTCATTCACAATTAAAATCAATTCACAAACTTCCGAGCTTACGCATGTGAATTATCCCAGCAGTTGTGCACGTTGTCTATGTGTGTCAGAAGTCACAAACACTTTCAAACGCTTCACGCTGCAATTGAAGTTTGGTCAAGTTATGCATTATTAAAAAGGTTGAAAACGATGCACTTTGCTGAGCATACAGCACTAGACCATTTGCTTTCAAATACCAGCAACGGACACACTGCTATTATCCGTCTGCGGTGAAGCTCAACGTGAAAACTAGCCTCAGGGAGCGAGAAATGCACGTTCACTTATTTTGTACAGTGGAAAGTCACTTCCTGCAGGGTGTTTATTTATCCTTGACTTTATGCCTTTGTAGATTTACTAATGTTTCGAGATCACAAAAGCGAGCGCTGCAAAGCTGGAGTGATATAAGGTACTCACTGAAGAGTAGCATGCTGGCATTGGAAGCCCCGAGGCGGTTGGAGGCGAAACAGGTGTAGTTGCCAAAGTGTTTTTCTGTGACATTGGTGAAGAGCAGCAGGGAACGTGTTTTCTCGTTTTTAATCTTCAGCGTGTTATCGCTCTCTACCGGCCTGAGGAAGAAGTAATATGACAGATCACACGTTAAAGTAAACCCGGTATGTGCTGCTTCCCATGGTTCACAGCGTCTGTTTCGCTCATTTTGTTAATGCTAGCTTACCTTCGGTCATCCCGGTACCATTCGAAGGATGCGGTGGGCACCGCCATAGCTTCACAGCGTAAGATTGCAGTTTTTCCCAGCTGGGCGGGCATGTTCTTTACGTCTGTGATTACTGGTGGATCTGAAGACCACACAGACAGTGTACTAAAGTTAAAGTATTAGCACTCGTTGTTCAATTAAAGCAATAATTCATTCAAAAATGAGAAAAAAATGTGATCTCAGCGTCATGTCATTTCAAACCTGGAAGATGTATTGTATTAAAAAGCTTTTCTTAATATAATTTAATTTTAATTTAATTTAATTTAATTTAAAATCTTAATCTTAATTTAATTTAATTTAAAAACTTGAGTGTCCCTTTTCTTAATTAATTGCATGATAAAAAAAAACAAAAAAAACGCAGGAGATTTTGTTATTAAACTGTGATGCAAAAACTTCGTAAAGTACGGGAGTCCTAAGAGCTATGCATTATTATTATTACTATTATTATTATTATTATTATTTGTCTGATTTTATCAACAGATGCTAATTTTATAGTTGTTTGACACTAGAAAATAGTTCATAGTTATAAATAGTTAAATTATTCTATTATATTGATCCTATTATGCTAGTATTATAATTAAGTATAAGTACTATAAAATAAGAAACTATTATTAGTCAATGGAATCAAAGAAAGTAAAATCAATTCAAGACATTTTGCCTTAATATTTTGCTCCTCAAATTAATTTATCTAGTTTTAATGATGTTTAGATATTTTACTGGAAAGCAACAAATACTACAGTTCAAAAGTTTGAGGTCAGTAAGTATACAAAAGCTCCATTAATTTGATAAAAAAATCTAGTAAAAACAGTAATATTGTGAAATATTATTACAATTTATAAAAAATGTTTTCTATTTCAATGTATCTAAAAATGTAATTTATTCCTGTGATGAAAAACTGAATTTTCTGTCTTGAGTGTCCCATGATCCTTCACAAATCATTCTAATATACTTAATATTTTTGTGAAAAAAAAAAATCTGGACATTTTGTTGAATAGAAAGTTCAGAAGAACAAAAGAAGAATCTTTTGAAACATTATGTCTTTAACATCATCTGATTAATTTAAACGTCTCACAATTTTGAATGGTAGTGTACTGTATGTACTTATATATTTGAAGGCCTACATGAAACTGTAAAGAAATACAAGAATGATTTTTGTTGTGGAAATGTAATTAAGTTTCTACAGTATTCAAGAACAGGGCAAATTCTCTGAAATAATACTTAAGTGTAATAATGAAGTACAATTACTCAACCCTGTGGAGTTGAGAGGACTCAATGAAAAGATAAAGAGTTTAATTCTATATGCAGCTGATCGCAATCCAATTTATATTTGCATTACTCAATCACAGAGTGTTCTGAAACGCTCCCAACTATCTCATTTAGGATGTCACTGTGAGTTGCTGACAGGAGCAGAGTGGCTCGACTTACAGTTGACTGTGACCTTGACGCGGTACGTGTCTGGCGGAGCTACGCCATTGTTGGTGATGCATTCAAAATCCTCCGCTTGATGCCGCTTGATTTCTGTGATTTCCAGAAACTCGCCTTCGCTCATGAGACCGTCTGTGAAGACAAAAGACGAGAGAGTGATTGAATACCGGCGCCGTGGCGCAGAATGTTATAAGTTAGTGTAATTGGGTTGGTAGGTGTTCCAGAAGCAGCAGCATTGTTCCAGAGTATCATGTTAAACAAAAAAAGGCCCGAGGACACAGCAGCAGGAACCACGGGAATGACTTTCCTTATTCATCATGTAGCAGACGCTCTTTATCCGAACCGACTTTCGGTCAGCGCACCACAAGGGACGGTACTGCTGGAGTAAACGGCTGTTGAATGTCTTGCCCTGGAGCGCAATGGTGGCACGGGAATTCAGTGATCTTTAACCACTACACCACCTCCTCTAACACAACTAAACCATTTAACCACTTTTAAATTTTACATTTATTTCAACAGTGTTCAAGGTGAAGTGTGTCATTTCTGAACCACTAGTGGCACTGAATGGAACTCTATTCTCTTATATATATATATATATATATATATAGGCAAGAGAACATAGGCAAGTTGATATTCTGATCATATTTTCTTTCCCAAGCATTCCATTTTGTATTTAATTATTTATAAGTGGTATATAATTTTCCATGAAGGCTGGAAGTAAAAAACTCAGGTGTGGAAAAAGCTCATTCATTCTGTGCATAATTATTAGGCAGGTTTCCTTTTACAGATACATTGAGCCAAAAAAAGATATTGAAGTCAGACTGAAAGTCAAAAATTATTAAATGCTCATGAGAAGGATGCAACACTAATGCGCTACTAGAATTTGCAAAGTTAAGGCATGACCATTGGATGGCAAAATGCTCATTGGGACAGTGTGGTCAGAAAAAACAGGTGGAGAAGAAAAGACAGTTAACTGTAAAAGAATTATGTGAAACCATTTAGAACTTCTTAGAAAACTGCTTAGCAACTGCATAGCAACTATGGAATTTCTTGGAAGCAACATCCTAGCAATCACTTAAAAACCTTTGCAATAGATGACCAAACATTTATATTTAAAGTGTCCCTATTATGGATTTTTGAAAATTACCTTTCATGCAGTGTCTAACACAGCTCTAAGTGAATGAATACATCCTGCAAAGTCTAAAATCTGAAAGTGCACCATGTATAAAGATATTGTCTCTCAAAAGAAAGAGTCGACTCTGAATCATTGAAACGAGTCGTTTTTAAAACAAATCCCAAGCCGTTTCATGTTGACGTCAACATGAAACATTAGCATATTGCCCACCCACTTGTTGTGCACGCAGACCTGGGAAAACTTGACCATCAGTCGATTTTCGCTTTGGTCATTCTTTGCCATCAGGTGCTGCTTTTGGAGCGGTAAAAATAGCGGTTTCCCCGGTAATGGCTGTACACAAAGCAGCACTGCGTTCACAAACGCTGCTTTATCAGGCATTACAGGCATGATGAAATGAAAATGAGACCAATCGGACCAATCACTGCAGATTAGCGTCACGAAAAGGAGGGGTTTGGAAAAATTAATCATTGAGCAAATCGTTTGGCAGTCCTTGAGCAAATAAGGTAAAAATAAATGGATATTATAAGACAATGAAAGTGTTTTTTGACCTTGCATGCATGTCAACCTGTTGTCGGGGGCTCAAAAAAAAAACAAAATATGAACCTTTCATAACCCATAATAGGGGCACTTTAATATAAACCTTTATATTTACTTTTATTCACATTTTTTAGTAAACACTTTTACACTTTCTATCTCCAGTATATGCTTTACTTCTAAGCAACGCCCTAGCAACTGCTTAGTAACCACTCAAAACAAATTAGCAACAGCCTTGCAACCACGTAGAACACCTTAGCAACCATTTAGCAACTTCCTAGCAACAACATCTTAGCAACAGCCTATAAACCAGTTAGAACTTTGACAACTGCCTACCAACTTCATAGCAACAATTTAGAACCTAGCATCCTCCAAACAACCACTTGAAATACCTTAGCAAAAGTCCTGAAATCACTTAGAACAGCTTAGCAACTTCCTAGCAACAACATTTTAGCAACTATTTACATTAGCAACAGCTTACATACCAGTTAGAACTTCTTAGCAACTGCCTAGCAACTCCCTAGTAACAACTCAGAACCTAGCAACCACTCAAAACACCTTAGCAACAGCCTATAAACCAGTTAGAACTTTAACAAATGCCAAGCAACTCCCTAGCAACAATTTAGAACCTAGCAACATCCAAGCAACCACTCAAAACACCTTAGCAACAGCCTTGCAACCACTTAGAATACCTTAGCAACCACCTAGCAACAACATCTTAGCAACTACTCAAAACACCTTAGCAACAGCCTACAAACCAGTTACAACTCCTTAGCAACTGCCTAGCAACAACTCAGAACCTAGCAACCACTCAAAACATCTTAGCAACAGCCTATAAACCAGAACTTTAACAACTGCCACGCTACCTAGCAACTCCCTAGCAACAATTTAGAACCTAACAACATCCAAGCAACCACTTGAGACACCTTAGCAACAGCCTTGCAACCACTTAGAACACTGTAGTAACTACCTAGCAACTCTCTAGCAACATTTTAGCAACTATTTAAAACACCTTAGCCACAGCTTACATACTAGTTAGAGCTTCTTAGCAACTGCCTAGCAACTCCCTAGCAACAACTCAGAACCTATCAACCACTCAATAGTGATCAAATCCCTATGAATAAGTCACAGTTACAAAGTGACTTATGAATGAGGAACATAAATTAGTAACCACCTAGCAACTACTTAGAACCTCTTAGCAACCACCTAGCAACTATTTAGAACACCTTAGCCACCACCTAGCAATCATGCTGAATAGAAGATTGCCTTTGTCTACCTATATGCGTTCTCTTTCTAAGCATTGCCCTAGCAACCAATCAAAACACCTTAGCAACAATTTAGAATCTAGCAACATCCTAGCAAACACTGAGAACATCTTTGCAACAATAAAGTTGCAACCTAGCAACTACTTAGCAATCACATTGAACAGAAGACAGTCTTTGTCTATCTACTGTATATGCCTTCTCTTTCTAAGCATTGCCCTAGCAACATTCTAGCAACCAATCAAACACCTTAGCAACCACCTAGCAACTATTTACAACACCTTAGCAACCACCTAGTGATGTCTTAATCACATTGAACGGAAGATTGTCTTTTGGTCTATCTATATGCATTTTCTTTGCAACTGCTTAGTAGCCACTCAGAGCATCCTAGCAACAAGTCAGAAATCACACAGACATTAGGAAATGTGCACCCAAGCAACCCCTCAAAATAACCACTATCTGCAACCACATATCAATGCAGAGCCTATATAAAGACTGCTGTCAAACGGCACAGGCCTTATATAACCTTCACACTTCACATCTCTCCTCAAACTACACTTATATAGCCTTCAGACTTCAAGCTCAAATTCATACGATGAACTTTCCTTTATGTTTGCAGTTCTGTTTGGTGCTTCCAGTGGAGCAGAAACCACATACTTCACCTTGATTAAAATTAATTTCAACAGAATAAAATTTATTTATTTAACAAGAGCGGAGGCGAGTGACAAACGGTCCACGGAATAAACTGAAAGGCTTTGATAAGAAACTCAAGTCTGCGTCGCTCTCAGATAAATATCATAGAACGTGTGTTGGGGAATTCAGTGAGCTTTATTTACCAGCCATTGTGAACTACAAAAAGACTGTCTCGCACCTCTAAGGCACTTCTTTCCCTTTAGCGAGACGAAACAGACAACAACACACATCTGTAGTAACAAGGACAAGGGTGGCTTTGCCTCTGTGTGATGAAAGTGGCTATTATTAATACAACAATGACAGCGAGAACAGATACATTTGGAAGCTTGTTTCTGCCACAGAATAAAAAATAAAAAAGGGAACTGCGACTTTTTATCTCAAAAATCTTTTTTTACTGCAATTGCGAGTTTATGTCTCACAATTCTGACTTTTTTTTCACAGTATTGAGTTTACATCTCACAATTCTGATATAAACATGCAATTCAAAGAAGTTAGAATTTCAATATTTACTTTTTCTTAGAATTGCGTATTTGCATCTCACAATTTTGACTTTATAACATGCACAAGATTTTTGCACAAGAAAATTGTAAGCTGACTTTTTCCTTCAGAATTGGACTTTATAACTCACAATTGAGTTTATAAATTGCATTAAACTCGCAACTGCAAGAAAAATTCAGAATTGCATGATATAAACTTGCAATTGCAAGAAAAAAAGTCGCAATTGCAAGAAAAAGTAACAAATTCACACAACTGAAAACAGAAAAACTTACAACTGCATGAAAAAAGTCAGTATTGGTAGATATAAACTCACAATTGTTGGAAAAAATTCAGAATTACGGGATATAAACTCACAATTGCGAGAAAAATGTCAGAATTATGAGACAATCTCGATGGTCAGAAAAGTCAGAATTGCGAAATATACAATTGCGGGAAAAAGTCAGAACTCTGGGATATAAACTTGCAATTACGAGAAAAGTCAAAATTGCAAGTTTATATCTCAAAATTCTGACTTTATTTTTCACAATTCCAAGTTTATATCTCGCAATTCTGGCATAACTCGCAATTCTGACTTTTACTGACTGTGATTTAATATCCCATAATTCTTTATAACAGAATTGTGAGAAAAAAGTCAGAATTGTGAGATAGAAAGTCAGAATTATCTTTTGTATGTTCTATCCCGTGTTGGAAATGGGCTTCTATAGATTCACGCTAGCTTTCTCATGCAACCATTTTCATCTATAACAGTCAGAACTGTTAGGCACACAAAAATCTCAGTGTCAACAAGAATAATCCACTTCTTAGTAGTATCTCTCTGGCTTCAGCCAATGGAGAGACGGAAAACACAAAGGCAACTGCACACCTTTTAATTCACAACCGCCGGGACTTTATTCCACAAATTCGGCACCTTTTCTAATTGAAGATTATTCCGGAGGATTATTAGCACAGCTACTGAACTGGAGAGGATTATTTGCAGCTGCCGACGCCACCGACCGAGTACACGCTAAGGTTTACAGCAATGTTATTCACTCATTCCATTAGCGTAATAAATATAGTTCGTTCCCCCGTGACATCTTCGTCAGGCCGTGTGAGCACCCGTCTCAACCCACTGGGGGGAAAAATCATCTTATCCTGACAAAGAGGGTTTACAGGTAAAGAGACTGGTACGTCTCGCACGCTTCGAGCTGAGATGCTTACTAAGTAGACGCTATTTGTATTTATTTCTCACAGTTGTGACAAGCACATTCCCATCTGGCCAGCCGCATTTGTGCTCCGCTGCAACTGGAAAATTTCAGTGACAAAATCAGCTTTAGAAACACTTAGAATGGCTGGATGGAATCAAATCAAACATCCATCCATCCATCCATCTATCTATCAATCAACTTTGCTTTATTATTTAAAAATGACATTTATATGAATTTCTTGGAATTTGCTTGTTGCATTACAATTCTGCATTCTGTTTACTATCTCAATTTAAATTCTGCAATTCAACTGAAATTTAACCCTATAAAGCCTGACGTATGACATACTAGTAAAAAAAATCTGGTTATTGAACAAATCTAATATATTCATGGCTATGATATACTGGGAATATGGATGAAAATCTTTTATTTAGAGGACCAAATTTAAAAATTGTGCAATTTGGTGCAGATGCTGATATTTATATGGCCAAAAAAAAAAGATACAATTCTGATAGCTTTTAATGTATCATACTAAAATTTTTTAAGACTTTATATAAGACTTTATGGCTATGATATACTGGGAATATGGTTAGAAAAATCTTTTATTCAGAGGCCCAAACTGAGCAAAAATATGCAATTTGACGTAGATGCTGATATTTGTATGCAAAAAAAAAAATTAAAATAAAAAATGAATAAATAAAAAATCTCAACAGCAGCAAAACAATGAGATCTTTATAACAGTATAGCAGACTATTTACATAAAATAATATACAATTCAGCTGTCACTCATTATCACCAATAAGGTTTTTCAGCAACGTTTTATCATGTTGATCATTTAGAGGCCTTAGAAATGTGTGCATAAAATCTACAGCAGGCTTTATAGGGTTAAAGGCATTCTCAATATAAATGTGAGTCTCATAATGCAGCTATATTTCAGAAATCACATTAGAGAGGGTTTATGCTGCACAAAGGTACTCAGTGTTCACAGGAATCAACCATTATCCTGTTAGGATTATATCTACATTCTATGAGATACGAATAAATCGGTTGTGAGACTCAGAAAAAAGCCTCACTAGTCAATAGATCTTCTGCTGTCACCTTGAATGACATTGTATCCAGCTGTCTCTGTCCATGTCTGTGGACACTAACATGAGCATCTATGTGTCTTTGTGGGATTTATTTTATATTTTATTCATCTAAATGCGCATCTCGCAGCTTGGATCTGCTAGTTAACATGTACAGGACAGACTGTGTGTGGGTGGCCGGTCTAATGATGAATGAAACTGACCCGTCGAACACATGATTAACGCTGGTTTCAATCCTCATGGATGTGCATGTGAGCCATAAGCCAGTCGACGGAGTGGGCGTGTCACCTGTCAACGGAGCGTCAGGTGTGTGATTGTGATGTCATCGCACCCTATCTGCTTCCCCACAGTGTGATGTACAGGTCCAGATGGCTTTGTGTTTCTTTGGCCGAATCTACACGCCCCATTTCTCGCCCGGCTGCTGACAACCAATAGCTCCACCGCAGTGACTCGCGCTGAATAACAATGTGGCTCTTTCTGTCTCGCTTTACGCCGCTCTCTTTATTTCTGCCGTGCCGGTGGGTTATGAGGTGCAGAGGAAGTGCTGAGTGGGGAAAAGCGCAGACCGAAAGATCTGCAGACAAGCTATGACTACAATTATATGCAGAGTAGGAGAAATTTTATATCATGATAATGGTATATGTCACAGTGTGGTTATTTTTGCTGAGATTTCAATGGAAAAAAATAATTAATATATGCAATATGATACATTATTTATTTATTTATATTTTACAGCTATACTTTTAGATTTTTTAAAATCGGATTGTTCATATTTAAAACTAAAGACTCAAAGCAGCAAAATCGTCTCAGGTTACTTATGTAACCATGGTTCCCTGAGTAGGGAACGAGACACTGCGTCCTCTAGGGGTCGCTATGGGGAACGCCTCGTCGTGACCTGTGTCTGAAGCATACATTGAAAAAACACCAACTCGTTGGCCGGCGACAGCCATGACGTCACTACCGGTGCGACTATAGTATAAATAGGCGCCGGGAGCACACATCATTCACTTCTTCGTCTGAAGCTTGCGTCCGCAGCTTGCCCCTCTTTAAAAAACTCACAATGCGCGCAGATTGCCCCCTCGAGGACATCGCGTGCGTGCTCTTCGCCCAAACAAACAACACATAGATCGTGTGTGTCATCTGGTGTCAAATAGCGATGACATGGATGCACACACCTTCTAAATGTCTTAATGAAAATCTTAATGAAAGAGATAGCTCTTAGTTTTTTCCTTGGAAATGCACGCTTCAAACAGAACAGTCAATGAAGACGAAGAAGAGAATGATGTGTGCTCCCGGCACCTATTTATACTATAGTCGCACCGGTAGTGACGTCATGGCTGTCGCCGGCCAACGAGTTGGTGTTTTTTCAATGTATGCTTCAGACACGGGTCACGACGAGGCATTCCCCATAGCGACCCCTAGAGGACGCAGTTCGAAGTTCCCATGAAAGGGAACCCTTCGGTTGACACATTCTACACATTTCATAGCAAAGAAATATAACTAGGTCACCTTGACCTTGTTTACACCTGGTATTAACATCCATCTAAAATGATCTGATCAGTGTTAACAAAAAAAGTCCAATATGTTAAATTGCCAATACATATTACCAAGACTGCTTTAACGTTTCATTGTAAGTTTAAATGCTTACACATCTCAACATTGCATCCCCATCCACTCATGTGACACATAATCACTGTGACTAAAAATTATTTTTAAACTTTGCTTTTAAAAAAAATAAAAACATTTTTTTTTCAACCATTCGATTGAAAAAAATGTGGAAAAGGCTGCACATATACATGCAAAAAATTACATGCAACATTTTTTTAATGTAAATTTCACGAATATTTATATATTATATATATATAAATGTAATCTAATTAATAATAAATGTAACAATATATAAATATGTAAAATAATGATACTTTTTATACATTTACATTTTATTTTATTATATTTTATTTATATCTGTTTTTATTTTGAACTTGATGGAAACAAACCAATCTATCAGATTATTCATAACAACTGCCTCAAAGCAGTCAAACAGATATTGTATACATACACATACAAAAATATACAGTAAAAATATAATATACAAAATATAAAAAAAAATTCAGAATAAATTAACAGATACAACCATACTGTATATATTTTAATAAGTTTAAACAATAAATCACTTTTTTATATTATGGTATATTTTTGGCATTACAGAAATGAGAATTTATAGGAAAAAAATATTACTTAATTGTGAATTATGCTTTTACTTCTGCATTACTGTAGCTCATGATGTTAACAGTGCCAATGTCATAGGTTTGATTCCCAAGAAATGCACCGCCTGATAAAATGTGTATCCCCAATCATTTTTGGTATGGCAAATGCATTGCATGTTCAACATCAATCATATGCTTTCATGAAATCAAATACCCTTCCCTTGATAATTGTAAGTGGTCACTGGACGGGTTTGAGATGCATGTGAATACCAGGCGTAAAAGACGATGTGCTTGGCTGACCATTTGTGACCAGATCACTTGAATGCGTACAATAAGCACACAGATATAGTGAGTGTACACTACATAGACACACTAGAGGTGTAGTATCTGAGCTCAGCTGCTCCATTCATGTGACGCTGGTCCGTTTCCAGGCAGAGGGACTCTTGAGTTGATTTCAAAGGACTAAGGATCAATTGAAAAATAAATGATAGTAAATGATGATCCCCACCGTCCTGTAATCATATCGTGAAAAGATTAAATAAAAAATGCCCTCTCCTGTTATGCATTTCATCACAGCCACTCGAAATGAATGCAGCTAATATAAACGGTAATGAAAGTTATAAATAGCATGATTACTGATAACTGTGATTATTAATATTGTGGCAGGAACGATAATGGTGACAAAGATGATGATGATGGCACGTTGACAATTATCACTCTGGTTGTGGCTATAATTATTTATAATGAAATCTGAGCTGTAAATCGCCAAGACTATTTTCATAATTGCATGTTACTCTTATTGTTTCTCTAGTATACTGTGTACAGTATGCACTTTTTATACATGAGATACCCATACAACATTGGTCAAAATGTGCAGTATGAAACCAGAATACGCTATGTTTTTAAAATAATATTGTTTGATTAAAAGCATTTGGAAAATGCCATACATGTACATGCACAAAATTACATGTAACATTTTTGTAATGAAGCACGTCCAAACACAATTAAGTGATGTATGCGGAAAAATCGAATGAAAACCTGGTCATGTAAAAAAAAAAAATTATTGCATAAAGAAAAAAAAGCATATTAAGTGATGTGGCCGAATCTCACGAAAACCTTTTCGCCACAGAATCAAAAGGAAAAAATAAGAAATTAAATTTTGCATAAATTAAATATAAATACAAATATTTAGCATAAAAATAGAAAATATCATGAAAACCTGTTCACATTTCATCCGAAAAATCTAAATAAAAAAAATTAAATAAGACTAAACACATTAAAAATGTGGTTATAAAAATGATGCATTTTCTTTGTGTTCCCGTTTCATGTTCATAACATATTTCCACCAAAATAAAAGTTCAGAACACACTAAGCTGTGTAAACAGTATCCCACAATGCAATGTGCATAACTTGACCTTCATTTACAGTATAACAAACAAAAATGACAGAAGAGACTCACATCTGAAGTCCTTCCAGGTGACGGTTGGCTCTGGTCTGCCCACCGCCAGGCAAAAAAGATTGACGTCATCGCCTTCATTCACCGATTTATCCTGCGAGATGTTCACTATCCGGGCTGGCACTGCAAAAGAGATTTTAATTATGCTTAATAATAACAGAGTGAATATATCACGTCTTAACTGATATCAAAAATCAACCATGGTTTAGCCAAATAAATTTGCCTGAGACGGGTTGTTTGTTTCAGGGGTTATAAATGATTCCAATCAGCTGTTTTGGATTAAATTCCCAAAGCAGAGGGCAGTGCATAATGCCGGCCGGATAATGAGCCGGCCCTTGAATTTAAATGGCCTATGATCAGAGCTTTAATGAAGATGGCCACAAATTTGGCCTGCGAGGCATTCTCAAGCAGTCCATTTTTCAGGTTTCTAACAGGGCGGAATACTTCCGATAAACTTAAGATTGGAACCAAAGCAGATCCATTGCTGTTGGAGGAGTGACTGGGGGGTGTAATTATTTTCGCTCACATCGCACTAAGACTAAAATTGAGGGCACAATGGTATCGAGCAAATATGGTCATCTGTCTGCAAAGCTCCGTGCGGCAGATAAAAGTCTGTGTTTGGCGAGCCTGCCGGTTGGCCAACAACATACTCGAGATGCATTTTAAAAATGCTTCCCCTCCTTTTCGCACTTCTTCGCTTTGATATTTTCAATCTTGTGCAACAGGAGAATGCACCACGCACGGCGTCATATACATAACAATTGACAACTTTCAGCCGGCAGGGTTGGAGTAAAGGGAGGGATGCAGGCAATCCATCAGCGGATCGCGTCAGGCTGGATCGCAGGACCTCTTACTCATGTTGCTGCTGACGTGACAGTCGGCACGGCCCGTGTCCCGCCCCGCAGCACCGGTCAACTAAAGGCCTTCTGGAAGATTACTGAGCATAACCACCCCTCGGATCCTGATCACATCTGTGCCAGCCCCTCTTGTTTCTTTGGTACCGGCATTCGAGGAAATGTTCATTTGTGCAATTGTTTCGTATGAGTTCCATGGCAGAAAGGAGAACATCATGGCACGTGTTGACAATTACCACCCTGTTGTAAATGTAATTATCAGAGCTGTAAATCACGAAGACTATTTTCATAACTGCATGCTTCTGCAGTATGAAGTACTGTGTACAGTAGGCACTTTTTATGCATTAAACAAGACTGCACTGCAATTTTATGCTTTGGTACCACATTGGACAATACATTGTGTAGTATACGACCAGAACACATAATGTTTTTAAAAGAATATTGTTTGATCAAATAAATTTGGAAAATGCCATATATAGATGCACAAATTTACATAATGCATCATGTCCAGACAAAATTAAGTGATGTATGGGAAAATCTCATGAAAACCTGGTCACATCTCACCACAAATTCAAAATAAAAACTAGAAATTATATTTGCATAAAAATAAAAACAGTAATTGTGACTTTGTATATTATTTGAATTTGGACTTTATTTCTTGCAATTTTGAGTTTATATGTTGGAATTTTGATTCTGATTTTTTTTCCTCATGGTTGTGAATTTACGCTATCAAGTTTTTAAAATAAATTTACATTTTTATTCAGCAAGAATGCATTAAATTGATCAAAAGTGACAGTAAAGACATTTAGAATGTTACAGATTTCTATTTCAAATGATGTTTTTTTTTTTATCTTTCTGTTCTTCAAATAATCCTAAAAAAATGCAGAAATCACGGTTTCCAGAAAAAATGTGAAATCAGCATATTAGAATGATTTCTGAAGGATCACTGAAGACTGGAGTAATGATGCTGAAAATACAGCTTTGATCACAGGAATAAATTACAGTTTAAAATATATTCAAATAGAAAACCTTTATTTTAAATTGTAATAAAATTTCAAATTTTTTACAGTATTTTGATCAAATAAATGCAGCCTTGGTGAGCAGAAAACATTTTTAAAAATCTTACTGATGCCAAACTTTTAAACAGCAGTTCATACAAGTAGTAGTATCCTACACTATGTGTCAGATTGGTGATTGGTGATTTATGACCTGATTTATGACCTGATTTATGACCCCCTGTCAGCGTTGATTGACAGGTTGTCGGTTGTCAAATGTGTACATGATCAGATTTATGACCTGATTTATGGCTATATGACCCCTCTGTCACCCTGACTGCCATGTCACCAGAGTCTTATCACCCCTGACTGACATGACAGTGGGGTGTGTAAATCAAAAGATCAAACAGATGTTAGATCTGACTTTTGATGTATTTATGACTGGATTTATGATGTTTTATCTCTTACCTGTGCCATGGGGTTTTATGGAGTTCCTTCCTGACCTGTTGTTAACTTCCAGTCTGGAGGTGTTTGGGTTCTTCCTGATTGTGGAAAAAATGGCTAAGCAAAGGGTGTGTATTGTCACCTCAACAGGATCAATATTTGTTTGATTTATACGGTATATGTTAATGCGTAGTCACCAACAGTGTGGCTACCGACCCGTCTACATCGTAGGATACTACTACTCATACACAGTAGTATATCTCACAAAGATATAGGCCCGGTTTCATAGACAGGGCTTAGCCTAAACCAGGATTAGGCCATAGTTCAATTAGGACATTTGTGACCCTGTCTGTGAAAACCCAGCTAAAGTCATTTTTTGGTGATTTACTGTTTTCTATATAAAATCATCCTTCATAAGGTAAAGAACATTCTGTGAAAATGTAACATTGATATCTTTATTACTGACTAAGACCATGTCAAAGATTGAAATCATAGTGAAATTAATGGTTGAAATCAAACTTTGATGCTTGTTATCTCATAATTAGATTTTGAGACTTGGATTTCACAGAGAGGGTCACATTTAAGTAATTTTTATAATCATGCCTTAGAAAAAAGCATTACTGGTGTTCATCTTTAGACAAAACAAAGGCACTGATATATTTTAAGATCAGTCAGGGCAAGTTTCTTTCAGTTGAAACAGCTCAGATTTACATTTTAGTCTAGGACTAGGCTTAAGCCTTGTCTGTGAAACCGGGGGATAATGTCATATTGTGAGATTTAAATTCGCATTACAAGACATAAAGTTGTTTTTGTGAGATATAAAGTCGCATTGTGAGATATGAAGTCAGAATTGCAAACTATATACAGTAGTGTAAACTAAATACGTCAGATTTAAAACTGTGAGATTTAAAGTTGGCAACACTGGTTACTGGCAACTTTTAAAAAAATGTTCTACAGGCTTCTATTGAAATTCTGATCACTAAATTTACACACATTTCTGCCAATTACTTATTTTCTGGACAACTGAAATGGGAGGAAACCTGTTTTAGAAACCATTCATATTTTTTGGGGATGTAGCCCCTATTGCATTTGCATGTTTTCTTTATTATTGCAATAATTTTTTGTGTTCATAAGTAGCGCAAAATTGTCACTTTTAAGTGGCAGGCAGATGAATGAACATACCCTGAACGATGAGGTAGACGTGGGCCGTACGGGGCTGGTTTTTGGCCTGGAAGCTGCATGTGTAGGGTCCCTCGTCTGCCACCATCACTCGCTCAATCTTAATGGAGAAGTCGCTGTTGTTGTTGTTCACCAGGGAGACGCGGGAGTCCAGGGACCACTTATCTGTGCCCGTAAATAAGATGTTGGAGCGGTTCAACCATGCCTTGTGAGTGACCTCCTCGTCTATCTTGCATCTAAGAAAGAGAGGAGATTGAAAAGAACAAGTTTGTGGCAGATACAATTGACTCGTTTGAGAGCATTTATTCAACTTGACGTGAATAAAAACAAGGTTGTGAGGGGCAGACGTGTGTTCATGTTCACAAATGACATTTTCCCCTCTATTTCTATCACTCAAAGCCTTGTTTTCATTTGTTTTAAATAAAATAACTTCCAGAGGCAATTATGTGCCGTCATTGAATGAGAGCTCGTTAAATCATTAAAAATTGCTCCAAAGGTCAAAACATGCAGTATACATATAAAAACAGTAATTGTGACTTTATATATTATCTGAATTTGGACTTTATTTCTTGCAATTTTGATTTTATATGTTGGAATTTTGAAAAACGTGCAGTATACAACCAGAACACGCTGTTTTTAAAATAATTTTGTTTGATAAAAAAAAAATTAGCAAAATGCCAGACATAATTTACATGCAGCATGTCCAAATACAAAATAGTAATGTATGTGGGCAAATCTCATGAAAATCTGGTCACATTTCATCACAAAATCATAAAAAAATAAATAAATAAAAAAATAAATAAATTATATTTTGGATAAAATGTTTTAATAAATGACGCCACAATGACACCAAAATAAAACACTGATCACATTTCACCACAAAATCAAAAGAAATAAATAAGAAATTATATTTAGCATAAATAATTAAAATATATAAGAAACATAAATATTTTGCATAAATAAAATGTTGCATAAATAAATGATTTTACATTACATTTTTATTTTACATACAATAAAATGTTGGCCACATTTCACCACAAATTCAAAAGAAAAAAATCAGAATTTATATTTTGCACAAATATTTAGAATATACAAAAACAATACATATTTTGCATAACTAAATAATTGACACAAACAAATGTTTTATTTTAATGACAAAAAAGTTGGCCACATTTCACCACAAAATCAAAAGAACATATTAGAAATTATATTTTTGCATACAGAAAACAAAGCATATTTTGGAACCACTAGCATTTTAAGAGAAGTACTTTAATCAGAAATGAGCTGTCATTGTTTTCAACTTAGAAACTTAGTAAACGTGTGTTAATGTTCACAAATTACATTTATATCCCTCAAAGCCTGGTTTTCATTTGTTTTAAATAAAATATTGCATCTATAGACTAACTTTCATAGGCAATTACTGTGATGTCATTGAATGAGTGCTAGTATGAAACTGTTTCTTTGGTAATCGTTACAACTCGCTCATAAGGTCCGGGTCATTGACTATAGCTCATTAAGCTGACTAATCAGACCAGTGGTGATTGCTTTCAAACTACACACAGTGTCACAAACACACAGTGACTCGACCAGAAAAGCCCAAATTGCCATCTAAAAAAAAGTGGTGTTATGTTTATCAATGCACAAATAATCAATATACATACATGAATCCTCTACTGTATGTTATGGAAGAATATTCAGGACTATTTTTGAAAGGAATTGCAAATTGTATTTTCGATTGCGTTTTCCATATGTGGACGCATAAATTGTGACATAATCCAAATGCAATTGCAAATCTTGCATTACTGTTTGCGATTATCCCCTGCTGACAGCGGTTAAGAGCCACAACGGTATGCACAATAGGTCAATATTCACTATTAACCAAACACTTTTCACCCGTCTCAACAACTCTCACTGTTTACACTCCGATTGATGTGAGTAAACAGACAGTGCAATTCTACACTTATTACTGTATATTTTATTCCTCACTTTTAATTTGTAATAGAGAGAGTGTCGTGCCTGCTTCAAGATCTTTTACTGGAATAAAGTTGGCTTGACTTTGGACGTTCGATATTCGCAAATTTAGGGACCGTCTTTAAAGTTACATACGACATTGGTATACACTTTTCTAACTTCAATAGCATTTGAAGAGAACGACTAACAGTCATGAAACCAACTGTAAAGTGTTCATGTAGGTGTCAGTTATAAATAAACTGTAAATCATATGTAAATATTGTTATTGTTTTCTGTACTGAATGGACTCAAACACTATATACAGTTGAAGTCAAAAGTTTACGTACACCTTGCAGAATCTGCAAAATGTTAATTATTTTACCAAAATAATAATTGCAAATAATAATAAAAAAGCAGACGTGGTCATTAATATTGCTATTTAAATATGACAGGCTTATAGCTCGTAAGACATAGAAAATACAGTTGCAAATGGATTTTTTAATTTGAAATTTGGCAGTCACTGTGCGTTCGCGAAAGCGAAAACGCAAACGGTAATGCAAGATTTGCAATTGCATTTGGATTGTGTCACAATTTATGCGTCCACATATTGAAAACACAATTTGCAATTCCTTTTGAAAATAGTCCGGAATATCCTTCCATAGTATGTCGCCTCAAATGTTTAATTCAGTTTGCAAGCACATAAGATGGCGATAAAATTATTAATATTGAAGGGACGGCATTTAATAAACCAATACAAAGCTTTTTCTTTGTCACTATGTCCTGGAAGGCATGTTCAAATCTTTTTCTGGCACTGTACGCCATGCGGAGGATGCAGTTTTGCTCTGGAGATCTGCCCTCACAAAAGCTTTTCTCCTTCATCCAAAATATGATTCACATCTGCTGATGAGTAAACCCCATTTTAAAACATTTAGAGTCACATAAATTATTTGTCATGAAGAATTGCTGGAACATATTTGTTGCCTTGAAGCAACATTGTGTAGGAGTGGAACAGATACGGATGCAGCCGCTATAGAGAATATTGCAGTTATCATATGTTTTTATTTATTATTATTTAAAAAAAAATGTATACTTTTCAAATAATCAATTTATTAAATATTCATTTATTTTAGTATTTACTTTTTTTTAAGTCCTGCCAATTCCTAAATATAACTTTACTTATGCATGAAAACTGAATCAAGCATTTAAAAAAAAAAATGTTTAAACGCATGCAAAAATATCATTATAGGTTCATTTCAATAATTCAGTGAAAAAGACACAGCACTATCACACTGCTTATTCAAATGACCATTTATCCATATAAATTATTTAGGTAAATTATATATAATTTAAAAAAAATATATAAATAATTCTGTATTTACTTAACTTTTCATAGCATGGAAACGGAATGAAACATTTTTAAAACTTGTTTTTCATAAAGCATGGAACAGATGGTTAATTTCTAGGCATATTTCAATATTTATGTCAAAACGTGTATAAAATATCACAGCACTACTGCACTGCTCATTACATTGTCCTTTTTTATATTAATTATTTTTCTGTATTTACTTTACATCTAAAAGTCCTCCCAAATCCCACTGATAACTTTTCTTAAGCATGAAAACAGAATCATTTTTTAAAAATCGTTTTCATAATGCATGCAACAAAGTGTTAAATATTCTAGGTGTATTTCAATAATTTAGTGAAAAAACGTAAAATATCACAGCACTATCACACTGCTTATTCAAATGATTCATTTATCCATATTATTTTTTCGGTATTTATTTTTAATTTAAAATTCCCCAATATAACTTTTCTTACACATAAAAACTGAATCAAAATTTTTTTATAATGCATGCAATAGAGGGTTAAATATCATTGTAGGTACATTTCAATAATTGAAAAAGTTTAAAATATCATAACCCTTTAAATTACGAGTAATAACAAAATAATATTAACGACAACTAAATAATGTCTGCCATTAGCCACTGGCTATTAAATTATTAAAAATGCATGGTTGCCACATTTGAATTATAATTACTAAAGTTCTATCATAAAAAAATGCTTGATTGCCTGATTTTTCCTAAAACTTTAGTTGTTATTTTTTCAAATTATATTACACTTAAATATAAAAAAAATAAAATACAAGCCAACAGTGGATATATTGCCAACGTGTGCACAGAGGGTTGATTCAGTAACGTAATCTGTTCTCTCTCAAATAAAAATGTCTATTTGCTGACTTCAATGGGGTCTATAAATACATTGATTTCAGTGGTGCAAAGATCAATGTTCACCGGACAAGAGGCTCTAAACATGTCATTCTGGGTCCTGACTGGATGCTGTGCTTCACTGGGAGTCTATGAGAGCATCATGAGCACCATTTGCACCAAATCACCTGATTTGTTTATTGGACAGTGAGGCTTGCATTGAAGTATTTTCATCCTGAGAAGTCTGAAAGCTTCTCTACACAACCAATGATTGAGTTTCAAAGGGAACGTTGCAAAAACTGGCAGTGATATGGATGACTGACAGTGTTTGAAATTAAAAACACTCCCGAGTCTGGAGATGCAGTTAGTTGAAGTCAGTCTCACCACATTCGGGTCAGTGCTCATAATCTTGTCTTTTGCCTGCTGGCATTTGTAAATAATGCAAAAATGCAATGCAGAGATTGGTCAGATCAAAGAACAAACGTTGCAATATAACAACTGACAACTGCGCTTCACATGCTACTGAATCAGACGAGTGACGCCATCGGTCGAGTGATATGCAGGAACCACAGTTGACCTCTAGATGCCACTGTTCTGCTCTGCTCTTTAAATGGAGAAGTCGTGACACACTTAAGGCTTAATTATCACTCACATTCATGTCAGCTTTGACTTTCAGCGTATCAAACTGTGATATCACATCAATTCCCATTCCCGGTGCAGTTGTGTGGAATAATAATATGGTGCTTTTGAGAATATGAACCCCTGACAGCAGGTTCAGGAGTTCAATTGCTGGCTGATAGACTGAAACCAAGTCATTTCTGCCAGGAAACTGACTAACAACAAGACTAGAGAGAGTGAAATTAAAATGTTAAAAATGCACCCTCCAGCGAGTGAGCATAATAAGAGCAGTAGGGCTGGGCGATATGACCGTGTATACTGTGTGTGTATATATATATATATATATATATATATATATATATTTATAACAAAC